TGTGTCAAACACAGTGGACCCCTAAATAGGTACCTCCTGGAACATCAGCCAGATGTCAACCAGTGGTAGTCTCTGTGGACAGCCATGCTTTGACTGAATGTACTCAATGGTTAAAACCATTTTTTGGAATACTGAGATTTTACTTAAAAATCAGTGTGTCTAGCTTCTTTGAAAATACCCAGAGCTCTGGTGACACTAAGTATGGCAGTACACAGGGTACCCACACCCCAAGCTTCCTGTGCTGCCTTCCCATCCTTTCAAAGCCCATGGGGTGTGTTGGCGTGAGGAGGGGGACGGGGCTCCTTAATGCATCGTACTCACAACCAGAAGCAATGGAGACTGCATTTCCTGTGTCTCCAAATCCCCACCTTTTCTTCTGCTTTAGTAGCCAGTTCCCAGGAGTGGCAAGTGACCTCCCAGCATCTATCCTGTGTCCCCATAGAGTGCACAGTGCCCAGGCGCCCTTGGGACTAATGTAGTGTGGATGACACACCTTTCCTCACCCCTTAGCTTGGGCCACCTGCAATCCCTTTACCAGCTCTCCCTGCTGCCTGAGCAGGGTGTTTGTCTACTGTCTTGCCAACGCCAGCTGGTAGCTACGAACCTGGTCTCCTCCAGGCAGCCTCCCCAGATTCTACCGGGTGGATGAAGCCCCGCCTGTTCTTGTTTCTAGTTTCTCACGGCCCTGCTGGGGAGATCTCGGGTCACTGTCTCAGACTCTGACAAAGGCTGGCACTGCTCCTGCAGTGCTGTCAGTCCCAGAGTCCCAGGGGGCAGGCAGGCTTCTCTTATTTGTCTTTAGTGTCTTGTCCAGGTTCTTGGGAAGAGGCAGATCTCACGGGACCTTAATTCCTTGTAGATTCTAAGAGGTTGTGCACACAAAGCTTGGCTAGCCCTTCATTTCCTCTGGTCTTGAACAAGGACTTCGTGCAGCAGTGTAGAAGCTGTGGAGGCCAAGAACGTTCCCACCTTTGCTCCAGAAGGTCCAGGCTATGGATGTATCGTGCAAGTGAAGTGCCCTAGCTTGCTCAGCATCATTATCCTGGATCCCTGTGTCCCCACCACAGTGCCTCATGTGCCCTTAGTCCAGGGTCCTCTGCCACTAAGCTGTTCCTCTTTGTTCCAGGGCCCAAGCAAGAGTTACAAACAGGCAGAGACTATCTAGCTAATTGTCCTGCTCTTCCTCTTTTTCACTATGATAAATAGCAGATTGACACTTAAAAAAGAATAAAATTCTAGGGTTTGACAAGATGGTTCAATGGTCAAGTCTGATGGCCCGAGTTCGATCCCTGGGACCCACATGGTGGAAGGGGAGAACTGACTCCTAAAAACTCTCCTCTGACCTCCACACCCAAACTGCGATATGTGTGCTTATGCGTGCACATGCGCGCGCGCGATAAATAAATAAATAAATAAATAAATAAATAAATAAATAAATATAATTAAAAAATCCTATTTCCCAGCTTCCCATGTAGCTAGCAATACCTATAAGATAGAAATGGAAGTCATGGCATGCAGCGCTCCAGGGAAGATTTAAAGTGTCCCATTCCTCTGGCAGGGCAGAGACCTGTGCTGTTCCTGAGCAGCCATCTTGTGACCAAGGCAACCCCCAAACTGGACATGCTTAGAATGGGTGAGCAGAAAGAAAGGGGGCTGTGGAGCTGCTGACCAGCCCTAGAATCCCCACCGCTAGTTGTTTAGTTATATGGGGGAAAACTCTTCTTAATCCCTTAGCCATTTGAAGCTAAGTATCTTATTACTGAGACCAAACGCAGTTTTTACAGGGGTCAAGGCTATGGTTTCCACTTAAAAATCCCCATTAGAAAGAACAATCACAAGGCTCCCATTTAACAAGCAACTCCAGTGATCCAGGCCTTGGGCTAGGCACTTTGGGATATGTTATATCCCGGGGTCATAATGCAATGCTGGGCAGGTATGTTTTTCATAAGGGGGAACTGAGGCTCAGAAACTCCGAGATTTGCCGAAGCCACACAGCCATTAATGATGGGTTCAGTCCCAAAGCTGGATCTATTAGGCCCAAAGCCTAGGTCATTCCATCCCCCAAAACTTTCTACCCTTGAATCTATTGCAAGAGCCTTCTCAGGTCACCCTGTAAACATAACTTCAAATACAATGTCTGCCAAGACTTCTGTTTGTCATCCTATCATGAAAACCAGAAGGGCTAGAGTTAAAGTCCATGAATTTTATCTGGTGAAGAGCCTTTGGCAAATCATGGTTTCCAACCCACACCGTCTAATTATTTGCTGTAGTGAATAGACTTGTGAAGAGTGTGACTTTAAGACAGAGGGAGAAATATTAAAACTAAAGGCAAGAGGCAACAGTAACATTGAGACTTTTCTAAGGTGTCTATGCCACAGGGAACTGGGGAGCTGTTTTCCATCACAGGCCACATTTGTTGAAGATATCCAGGGTCATTTGTTTGGCAGAGTCTTTAGGGGAGACTACTTTGTGCCAGACCCTATGTAGGTCCTGGCCACCATGTGTATGTGTGTGCATGCATGCGTGTTGTGTGTATGAATTTTACAGAAGTACATGTAAAATTTCATGACATTCTTTAATCATTATAGAAAGAAATCAACACTCATTTATCATTTGCTACACACTAGATGTTTCTGTGTGGTCCTAATTCATCTTACATACACATGTGCACACCACTTGAGCCTAGGCAGATTCATCCCCACTAACAAGAGAAAGCCCCCGAGGCTCGGGGATGTTCTTGAGCTTGCCCTGGGGTTTCATAGTCAGTAAGCTCTCCCGTGTTGCTCCAAAGTCCCTGGCAGGGTACAGGTAAATGAACGCACCCTCAGAGCTTGAAACCAAGAGGCAGGTAACTGCTTACTTTGCAGGTACAGCAAAAACTCAGCTTATTTCTTATTTCATGTCTTACCTTTAAAATTCATGCAAGTTTTGTATTACACACTATAAAATAACCATGTTGTTTTGATATCAGAGCAAATGTATTAAATGCTTTATCAACCTAATTATTTAAATTTTTACTCATGAAATAGACACTGTGGGATGATGTGGCTTTGTGAATTCTCAGGCTCAGCCAGGTCCCACTGGAGAACCTCATGTTAAGAACCTCAAAGTCGGTCTGACTTCTGGGTAATTTTTAAAAAATGTTTTTATTTATTATTTTTATTTTATGAGTGTATTGCCTGCATGTAGGTAAGCGCACCCATGTCGAGCAATATCCATGGAAGACAGAGGAGGCCATCGGATCCCCTGGAACTGGAATTACAGTTGTTTGCTGCCATGTGAGTGCTGGGATTCGAACCCGGGTCTTCTGCAAGAACAACTAGTGTTCTTAACCGCTGAGCTATCTCTCCAGCCCAAGAACCCCAAGGTTGGTCTGACTCCTGGGTAATTTTTACTGAGTGTTTAAGAACCTCACTCAAAGTAACTGCTGCAGTTTGGATATGGTTTGAGGGTATCCCCTGTTCGAGCTTCATTCTGTTGCTGTGATGAAAATATGCTGATCAAAAGCAACTAAGGGGAGGGAAGTGTTTATCCACTTATTCTTCCAAGTCACAGTGTTGGGGGAAGTCAGGGCATGAATTCTAACAGGAGCTTGAAGTAGAAACCATGGAGGAATGCTGCTTGCTGGCTTGTTCTCTGGCTCGATCACAGGTTCATGCGGAGGCAGCTTTTTCTTTCTTTTTTTTTTTCTTTCTTTCTTTCTTTCTTTCTTTCTTTCTTTCTTTCTTTCTTTCTTTCTTTCTTTTACTTATTTTTATTTTATGTGTATGCATGTATTTCCTGCATGTAGGTAAGTACACCCATGTTGTGCAATGCCCACGGAGGTCAGAAGAGGCAGCTTTCTTATACAGCCCAAGACCACCTGCCGAGGGATGGTACCATCCACAGTGGCCTGGGCCCTCCTGCATCAATGAACCATCAATACAATCCCCCAGAGACATGCCACAGGCCAGTCTGCTCTAGGCAGTTCCTTAAGCAAGTTTTTCCTCCCAGATGACTCTAGGCTGTATCAAGTTGACAAAATTAACTAAAGCATCCCCTAAGGATCCATGTGTTGGAAGCGAGGACCTATGTGTGGTGTTGAAGTAGAAGGATCTTTAGGAGGGAGAGCCTAGCAGGCCTTAGTGTGGTCACTGAGGGATGTGCCCTTAGAGAGGCTGATAGTTCTTATAGACCCTGAGTTGGTTCTTGGGAAACCAAGAGCCTGGCCCCTGAATTGCTCTCTGGTCTCTTCTTCAGATGTGATCTCTTCCTTCCATATATGCTACCCCTGAGATATCATCTGTCATTAGATCTTCATCAGAGACCAAACTAGCCTCTAATACTGTGCACTAAGCAAAACTTTTTTCTTTCAAAATTTATTCAATTTCAGGTAATTTGTCATAATAATAAAAATGACTAATATAGTAGTGTACAAATTTTGGGGGTCGTGTGTGGTGTATGTGTGGGGAGGGTATGCACAACTGTGCATGTGCACATGGAAGCCAGCGGTTGATACCGAATGTCTTCTTCTATCGCTTTCCACCTTATTTTTTGAGACAGGATCTTCACTGAACCTGCAGTTTTCTATGTTGGTTTGAAAGGCTGGCCAGCAATGCCCCAGGATCTACCTGTCTCGCAAGCCCCCTCCAGTTGCTAGGATTACAGATGCAAGCTGCCATACTTGGCTTTTATGAGGATGCTGGAGATCTGAACTCAGGTCCTCAAGTTTGTGCAGCAAGAACTTTACCTCCTGAACCATCTCCCCAGCTTATTTTAACAATAAGCCTAAGGTTGTAAATCTTGTCACATTTATAACATTCATTAATTCATTTGATCAATAAGCATCTATCTACTACATGCCAGGCCCAGTGCCAACCACAAGGCATTCCAGCCTCAAATGGAGTACTGACCCAGTATCATGGTCTTCCAGGAGCAGCCAGGGGTGTGTGAGCAGTCAGATGAGTGACTGGACCCCAGCCTGCCCCTAGCCCAATCTGGAGGAAGCTGGTCTCACTGACCTTATGAAGGTACGGAAGCCAGTTGGTCCCAACTTCATCGTCCCCTTGATTCCCAGGAAGCGGATAAATAAATTTGCCATTCTGTCCACCAGGCGCAGGTAGTTGAACTGCTTGGCGTACTTGGGAAACACCTGCTTGAGGCAAATGGAGGGCAGGTGGGCTTCTTGGTCTGCATCCGGTTCACCAGTCAGCTCTTTGTCTGAAACGTCCCTCCCAGATGATGGGTGCTGAGACCTGAAATACACAAGGAATTCATGACATGGTGCTTTTCCTTGCATGGGTTCCTTCCCTTGAGATTTACAATAACCTCAGGGGATGGGCATTATCACTATTATTATTTTTCAGACTAAAAAACTGGTCCCTGAGAAGTGATGTACCTCAGCTTGCGTGGCTGGAAGTATCAAAGCCAAGACTTGAACCTAGGACAGAACCAGGACTTGAACCCATGACAGAGTCAGAACTCGAGCCCAGGACAAGAGCCAGGACTTGACCCAGGGCAGAACAGAGACTAGATACCCAGCTTCCTCCATTTTGCCAGCCTAGTTTCCCAAGATGGAAAACGTCCTCTGCTCTGCTCCCCGTTCAAGGGAATACTCCATTGTGGAGCAGTCTGGGTTTGATTTCAAACTCCTACTTACGGGTAGTAATTGAATAATTAAGAAATATAAAAATCTCATTTAAGGCTGGCAAGAAGCCGTGGCACAGTTCAGTGAACAGTTTGCAAAGATGCTTCAGTTACCTGGTTCGAAGAATGAGGACAATTACATCTCCTGGCTTAACTGTTTTCTTATTGGAACTTCTACAAAAAATGATTGGAGTATTGCGATTCCTTAGCCAGCACATTTTATTCTGAAATTATTCTGAGAGCCAAGAAAATGAGCAGCTACCAACTCCCCTACCAAGCTTTAGCTGGGAGTGACCTCGGTCCCTACTCACCTCCAGCACTGCAGAGTACTTCCGCTCACCCAAATCTGTACCCTCATCTCCTTGGCACATTACTACTAGATATCTGCTAGTTACCCAGGTGGGAAAAAAAAATCAGAATAAATGCCAACTCTTCCTCTTCCTCTCTGCACATTGGACATGGTCAGTAAATCCCACCCGAGAGCTTAGTCTGGGGAAGTTAGAACCATAGCACATAGTATTGAGCTCAACAAAAGCCACTTGCTACTCTTTCCCTGTTCCAGATGGGGAAACAGGTTTAGCAAGGAATCACATCCTTCTGAAAATGTATTTATTTTTATTTTATGTGTATGAGTGTTTGGCCTTGTGTCAAGGCTCCCACTTCCAAGAAGTCCCCCACTTGGGTCATCTTGGTGTCCCTGGGCCTGTTTCTCTCTGGCCCTGGCTGCCTGGCACACTTTTGTCACTATTTAAGAACCCAGAGATGTTTCATTGGCCACACTGATGGTATTCTTCCGTGTCCCTTGTACCCTGTACTGTTTCAACACCTCTGGGTGTTCTGTGAGCTCACTGGAAGAGTAGGTCATTTCCCAGCCAACTCTTATCTATGGGGCATGGCATGTATTGAGTGCTAGGGATCAAGTGGGGAGTGGGGAATGTGGAATGGGGTGTAAAGCTTCTGCACCCCATTGAATGTATTGCATTGGGAAAGTTTGCTTTGCTGCTGCTGTTGAGACAGGGCCTCCCTGTAGCCCCAGCTGACCTGGAATTTGCTATGTAGACCAGGCTGGCTTCGATCTCACAGAGATCCGCCTGCCTCTGCCTCCCGAGTGCTGGAATTGAAGGTGTATGCCACCATGCCCAGCTGGAAAGCTTGTTTTTAATAATGACATAAGCCCCCAAGGAAACCTCAAAGTCAGGCCAGTTCATATTTCATAAGCCCCTGGAAATGGGAAAGAAGCCCACGAAACAAACACTTTGCCTGGACCAAGTGGTCCCCTCATACCAGTCTGTGGAGCCAGCCTCCAGGGAAGAGGCATGAGTAGAAAGTTCCAGAAGACCTGATCACAGTTTCTTTTATGTGGGTCTTGGCTCTGGACTGAAAGTAAGGACAGGCAGAGGGACAGAAGTAGGAAGTATAAAGAAAAATCTCTTTCAAAGTTCAATAGTGTGGGGGGTCTAGGGAAGGAAATGTTCTCTCCTGCATGTGAAAACCCGAATCCTCAGGAGAGGCAGATGTTCCCTTGGGTGTGCAATTTTCCTTCATCAAAAACGGTTCTGTCACCATCACCTTGAACTTCAGACAGCAAATAAAAGTCAGCTGGTTTTTTTTTTTTTTTTTTTTTTTTTTTTTTCCACAAATTGTTTTCCCCACTACGGTTGTAGGAAGAAAAACGAGGGGGGAAATGTGACACTCTTACTGGAAATTGGCTCTTAAATTACTGAGTAAGTGTTGGTGGCTGACATTATAACCACTCAGGAAGTTTCATTAAGGGGACGATGGGGAGATGCACAGTTTGAATGCACTGAGAGACCATGGTAATAGCTCCGGGAACTCAATCCACAGACCTGCCTCACATATGTGACCTCATTTGCTCTTCAGGTCTGCCAAGAAGTCTTGGACGATAGCCCTGTTCCAGGCAGGGAAACTGAGGTTAGCAAGGCATAGCACCTCTGACGATTTATTTACTTATTTGTATTTTATGTGTATGTGTGTTTGGCCTACATGTATGTATGTACACCATGTGTGTGCAGTGCCCTTGGAGGCCAGAAGAAGGTGTCAGAACCTCTAGAACTGGAGGTACAGATAGTTATGAGCTACCTTGCGGGTTCTGGGAACCACACCTGGGTCTTCTGCAAGAGCAGTAAGCAGGCTTAATCACTGAGCCATCTCTCCAACTCCCATATTATCTCTTTGAATAAACCAGGATATAAATGAGTTCTTCAAACCCAGTGTTCTTTCAGTTTTACTGTCCCCTTATTCTAATGCACATCGTGGTTTACACTGGGGCTAGAGAACCCTAAATAGTATTATTTAATTTTAAAGAGCTTTAGCTTTATATTTTTTATAAATCTGTATTACTTTTTTTTTTTTTTTGAGACAGAGTCTCACTATATAGCCCTGACTGGCCTGAAACTCACTATGTAGAACCAGGCTGGCCTCAAACTCACAGAGCTCTATCTATCTCTGCTTTCTGAGTGCTGGATTAAAGGTGTGTGCTACCACACCCATTTAAAAAACAAAACAAAACAAAAAAAGCCCTCAGTTTCATATAGTTCAGATTGACCTTGAACTCACTTTATAGCTGAGGATGCCTGTGACCTTCTGCTCCTTGCATCTCTACCTTCCAAATGCTGGGATTACAGGGCGTGTATAACCATATCCACTTTTATGCAGTGCTATGGATTGAACTCCGGGCTTTGTGTGAGCTAGGTGGGCACTCTACCAGCTGAGCCACACCCCCAGCTGGGAGCTTTATTTCTTAGATTGTAAAAGTCATTCAAGCTCTCTGTAGACATTTGGAGAAATGTATAAAGCAATGAAAATCATCCCTAATCCTCACAACTTAAAGAAAGGCACTAATAATACTTAGATGTCAACATTTAGAGTCAGGATACGAGGCATGTGGTTTAAACTCTGCACATCTTCACATCTTCCCATGAACATATTTCTCAAATGCAAACATTCTGTATCAAACCATAATGTAGTTAATAGTTCCCCTTGGGAAGTTATAACTGAGGTTAGATATTTAGTACCCACATGGCTTGTCTTTTTTCTAAATAGAGTCTAGGGCTCAGCCTCCTCCCCAGGCAACGGACTTCTCCAAAGCATCCAGTGTCACAAATTGTTAGCTACAAGTAGTTTTGGAGATCATTTCATCCTGGATATTTTTTGTTGTTCGTGTGTGAAATATACATAAAAGTTACTATTTAAATCATTTTAAAGTATACAGTGCAGTGGCATTTAAGACTTTCATGAAGTTTCGTAACTGTCAACACCATCTAGTTCCAGAACATTTCACGACAATGTCATTTCAGAGAAGAAACTTCAACCCAGGTAGACAGGCCTGAGTACCAGCGGGCCATTTAACCAGCTCAGTGTCTAGTGTGGCAGTCTTAATTTGTCCTGCCAGAAAGGGACCTCGTTGCCTCCATCCAGTATGCCCAGACTGGACAGGTCTTCCCATCCCCTTCTTGTGGCGGTCCTACCCCTAGCACTGTGCTGCATGGGTCTCTTTACAGAGACAGCCTCTCACATTTTCTTCTGCATCTCCCTATCACTGTCCTCCCCCATCCTTCCTGAATCCCAGTTGGTAATCTCTGGAAGAAAGGGCCTGCCAGCCACAGATGTCCTTTTCACAGACTCCCAGCCACCAATTCAGAGGGAAGTACTTTCTTTCACCTGGAAGAGGCACTAAAGATGTGGCTGATGTATAAGAGGAAATAAAAGGATGAGAAATGGCATCTTTGCTGGAGATAATTGCAATTACCACACTGAGACCCAAGCCATCACAAATACTGTAAAATCCTGTTTTTACTTAATAGCATTTTAATGGAAATGTCAGGCTTACAGAATAAAAGTGAGCGGTAAAGAAAACATAAGTCAAGCTTACTAGTCCTTTGGGATCATTTTTGAAAAAATTGAATTTGGTATATCCTCGATTCATTAAAACAGGGGAAAGAATCCTGGAATGTTTTATCTACTATCATTTTTCAAATAAAGTGGAATTCTTTTTCATTAAAATGCTTGTGAAGAACCACCTATCTCTATTTTGCCTGGAAACCTCACTGCTAAAAAATTGCCACCATTTATTGGGGAACCTTCGGTGTGTCAGGCATCACACTGAGTAATTTACCTCTGTAATCCCATTTGTTTCTGATAACAAGTCTATGAAGAAGATGGAAACTATTTCCCTCACACAGGTTAGAAAGGTGAGGTCCAGAGAGGCTGACCCTTACCCAGGTTCACACAATCAGCGGCAGAATTAGCAGCAGAATCGGCATTTACCATTTACGCTGGGACTGTCTCGCCCCACACCCCATGCTGGGTTCACTCTACAGTTCTTGCACTTACTTGATTTAAATCGAATCAGAGACTTTTCTTCTCAGGTATGAGCTATATATAGTCCCTGAGATTAACAAAAGCAGGGAGGTGGATATTGCAAGATCAAATTCTAGTTTCAGTGGCGTTGCCTGAATTCTCTCTAGAGAAATAATTTCCATCTCTAGTTAAGCATACCAACCCATCACTTTTCCATGTCTGAAACATTTCCTAAGCACTGGTATGTCCTGGGGGCCTTGGATACAAGGATGGGGTGGACAGAGTTCCT